CAATGTTCTATTCTTTCATTCTACAACTCCATTCCGTTGAGGAGTTCTAGGACAAGAGAAATCATGTGCAATGCCATTATCTTTAAAATATTTTTCAAAAGATTTATTTTCAAATTCACCACCATGATCACTTCTGACTTTGACAATTTTAAAATCCTTTTCATTTTGAATTTGATTCCAAAAGTCAAAGAATATAAAATAGGACTCATCCTTGTGTTTCAGGAATTTTACCCAAGTCCATCTGATGTAGTCATCAACTATGACTAATCCATACTTTTTGCCTCTGATGGATGCAGTTTTCGCTGGTCCAAACAGATCAATATGAAGTATCTTGAATGGTCTAGAGGTAGAAACAACATTTTTAGCTTTGAAAGAAGATTTTGAAAATTTTCCTTTCTGACATGCTTCACAAAGAGCATCTGAGTTGAACTTCAACTTAGGAAGTCCTCTGACCAGATTGAGCTTGTTAATCTGAGATATACGTCTCATGCTAACATGACCCAATCTTCTATGCCAGACCCATTGCTCATCATTAACAGACATAAGGCATTGAACATTTTGATTTTTCAATTCAGAAAGATTTATCTTATAAATGTTGTTCTTTCTCTTACCATTAAAGAGGATTGAACCATCTTTTTTACTAACAGTTTTACAACATTTTTGATTAAAGATTATATCATAACCATTGTCACTTAATTGACTTATGGACAATAAGTTATGTGTTAATCCTTCAACAAGCAGAACATTAGAGATAGAAGGGAGGTTATCATTCCAATTGTTCCAGAGCCAATGATTTTGCCCTTCTGGTTTCCTCCAAACTTCACGTCTCCTCCAGATCTAAGTTCTAGGCTTTGGAACATAGACCTTCTTCCCGTCATATGTCATGAGCAGCCAGAGTCCAGGTACCATGACTAGTGTCTTAACTTTGCTGCTAAGGACATCTGCAACAAAGATTATTTTATCTTTAGGTACCCATATCTTTTTGGGTCCTTTGGGGTTAGTTGGTCTGAAGTTCTGTCTGAACTTCTTTCCCTTAAAAGCATCTTTGTTCTGACGGAGTTTTGGTTTAATAAAACTTTTTGTGTTCTGATCTGTACGTGTGTGTTTGATGTCATTTAGGTGACCATATTTAAAATGAGTGTATAGAGGAGGATAATTGATGATTAGCTTATCAACAGGTTTTGGATTTGATTCATTCCCCGAGGGTGATTCATATCCAATTCCTTTTCTGTTATTCCTGCTAACACCATAGATCATAGAAATCATTTTGTTTTTATCTAGGCCTCTAGACTGGAACCTCTGAAAACTATAGTCGTACTCTTCTAAAATATTTTTGGAGCAAGACATAGTATCTGAATCAGACTTTTGTTGAGCTTTTTCTAAATCAGTTTTTATTTGAAAACTATTTGCTTTTAGCTCAGCAATTTCTAATTTCATCTGATCAGTCTCAGATGCAAGATAGCTCTGAAGCTTCTTGTATTTGAGTCTAATCTTACTATAGTTTTCAAACATCTCAGATAAGCTTTCAATTAGTTCAGCTCTGGTAAGATCAGAAAATACCTCTTTTGAATCTGATTCTGATCCAGATTCAGATGTTTCTTCGTGCTCCTCCATGTCAGTCGTTAGTGCCATATTTGCACATTCGTCCTCTGATTCTGATGAGGCTTCAGAAGCATCTGAGTCATCCCACGTGGCCATCAGGACTTTCTTCTTTTTCTCAAACTTCTTTCTGGGTTTCTCCTTCTAAAGTTTGGTACATTCATTTTTGTAGTGCCCTGGCTCCTTGCACTCATAACACACAACTTTTTTCTTGCCAGATCTTTTGTGTCCAAAAGATTCTCCTCGTTGTTCTGGTCTTTTGAAGTTTCTGAACTTCTTTTGCTTATGCTTCCAGAGTTGATTTATCCTTCTGGAAAGCAAAGACAATTCATCTTCATCTGAGGAAGATTCTCTAGAGCTTTCCTCAAGTACCTAAAAAGCTTTATTGTCAGATTTCTTATTAGATTTCAAAGCAATAGACTTACCTTTCTTCTGAGGCTCGTCTTCTTCCAACTCTATCTCGTGACTTCTTAAGGAACTGATTAGTTCCTCCAGAGTGATCTTATTCAGATCCTTTGATAGCTTCAGCGTTGTGACCATGGGTCTCTACTTCTTTGGTAGACTTCTGATGATCTTCTTCACATGATCAGAAATGGAGTATCCTTTGTCAAGGACCTTCAAACCAGATGTCAGAATCTGGAATCTTGAAAACATGGTTTCCACAGATTCTTTTTCCTCCATCTTGAAGGCTTCATACTTCTGAATAAGCGCAAGAGCCTTTGTCTCATTCACCTGAGAATTTCCTTCACGTGTCGTCTTTAATGACTCAAACATGTCAAACGTTGTTTCTCTATTTGTGATTTTCTCATACTCAGTATGAGATATAGCGTTTAACAGAATACTTCTAGCTTTGTGATGATTTCTGAAATCCTTCTTCTGTTGATCAGTCATTGACTTTCTGTCAATCTTTTTACCTTCATCGTTTGTAGGATGAATGTAACCATCAATGACTGTATCCCAAAGATCAGCATCATACCCAAGAAAGAAATTTTCTATTCTATCCTTCCAATAGTCAAATTTCTCTCCATCAAACATTGGAGGCTTTGTACTGGTTCTATCTCTATCTTCATATTTGTTCAACCCAACGTTGTTTGAATCAGCCATATTAAATCAAGGATAATAAATTAAAAGAGTTTTCTCAACTGGATCTTATCTCAATCACTGTTAGGTGATAACAATACAGAGTCGGAGCTCTGATACCAACTGAAGGTAGGAAAAACACTTAGAAAGGGGGGTTGAATAAGGGTTTCAAAAACAACTATGACAATAGAAAATAACAAGTTATTTTATCCTAGTTCGTTTGAACTCAAACTACTCCAGTCCACCCGGCCAAGGTGATTTTTCCTTTCTCAACAATGACTTAATCCACTAAATCAAACTGATTACAGTGATACCACTAAGACAAACAGTCTTAGTCTTCTCAAGAAATCTGACCACAACTTGGTCTCTTAAGGATCTTTTACAAAAGAAAAAATACAATGTGTTTAAGTGCTTCTAAAAAGCTATTATCACAAACAGTGATTTTTACACAAAATGAAGAATAATTAAACCATTCAGTTTTGGTAGTAAGATTGTAAGAGTTGTTCAATATTTGTTTGTTCAATGTTTTGTCAACTTTGAAATGATGCTGAAGACTTGCTTAAATACCACTTCAAGTCCATTTCTCAAAAACTGTGCAGCTGTTGCCTTTTGTCTTGTTTGACTTTCCTTTCTCAGAAGAGGAATGTTTAGACATATCCCTTTTGTTTGAATTCTTGTGTCATACACGAATGAGGAATAATGTCGTCGGAGTAGACATTGAGATTAGCAACGAATCTTTCTTTGAGCTGACATATTTTCAAATGAACAAATATGGAAATAATCTTTCATCAGATCCTCTGATGATATTCCTTGTTCTTCTTATCAGAGTCACTCTATTCCAGAGTTGTGCAGCTAGTGCTTAGCGTGAATGTCTTTATCAGAGCAGACTTGTTTATCAGAGCATCTGTACTTGCAGCGTTGAGTACTTCCAAAGTCTTCTGAATCTTTACTTATGCTCTTCTCTCAGAGTCTTCTGCAGCTACGCTTCAGAGTCTTCTGCAGCTTCGCTTCAGAGTCTTCTGTAGCTTTGTTTCTGACGCTTAGAGTCTTGCGTTACTTAACTTTCAGAGGAGTTTTTGCTTCTAGAGGAATATTAATTTTGATATCTGAAACAAAAACACTTGAACAAAATTAGAGTATATATTTCCTTTATACAAAATTTCATTAATGTTATCATCAAAACATAGAGATATATTAACAATTAATTTGTGTTCTAACACATGATTCTTTGGAGCCTTTGGAACAGGTGGGAGAATGTGTTACATCATACTAGATCCATTCATTTTTTGGTAACTCGTATCTATAGAAAAGATAACCATTGCGCAGATAAATTTGTTAACTTAGGTTTACATTTACATGATTTTACATGGTGAAATTTTGTTCATATGGATCTTATGGATTTTGCTAGGATTTCCATAGGACTCCCTTGCTATAGAGTTTGTCATTAAGAAATTTTGGTTTGATCCCCTTCATTTTTTTGTCTTTGTAACATCTTATACTTTCTAATATATTTTGTGGTGTTTTTGTGCCACTTTTTAAATAAAAAAAAATAGTTTGTTCATAATTCATAACTTATTGAGAAAAAAAACTTTAATTTTAATAATGAGATAAATATATCTGTACAATTTCTATATAATGCGTATGGGATACTAGATTTGCAAGTTTATAAAAATATTATTTATATATTTACAAAATTTATTACTCATTTGAATAAATTATATAATTTAGTTTTGGTTTATGACATTTAAAAATTAATTTTTTGAAATTTATAAAGTTGTTAAAACATAAATATTGATGAAATAAAATTTTAATATAAATATGACAAAATAAAAATTTGGCCCCAATAGTGGATAGATATGAATGATGTATAGAGAGAAGCGAGGGTTATAGAAGTAAAAGAAAAGTATGAAAAAAAATGAAAAACGCTAGAAGGAGGGGTTGAACCTCCGACCTTGTGGTTAACAGCCACACGCTCTAACCAACTGAGCTATTCCAGCTTCGTTGTGTAAGGTTCTCTGATGTCATAATTTATAAACATGAAATACGTAACGATATACGTAAACGACACAAACCACATTACACGCAGTAGCGCAATCGATGACGCGGCATGCTTCACTCACAACGTTAAAGCAAAATGCTAATGCTGAAGATATTTCCCTTCTTGCATCCATATTGAAGTTAAAGAAAAATATTAGAGTGAGAGTGACATATTTGTTTTTGTTTATTGTGAACAACTAGTATCTTAATTATTAAATACATACATATAGTGTTGTGTGAAGTGTAATTAATCAGAGATTATCATTCTTAAACATCAACAACAAATGGAGGAATCAATATTTGTCTTCTTATCACTTCTACTACTTTCTTCAGTGCTACAAAGGGTACACTCACATGGAAATCATCCACTGTCAAAACTTGCTATTCATAAATCAACATTTTCCCTTCTTCACCTTGCTCATATCAAAGCAACTCCATCACTTCTGGGATTACAAGTAAGTTTCAGCAATTTTTTATCAAATATAACTTCATAATTTCACTAGTATAATTTGCAATAACTTTCATTGGTAATTAATTATACCAAGTTATTTTTGCTTCTAGATTAAATTTCATGCTTATTTTCTTATTGTTGATGCTAGTTTAGTTGATTCTTTTGTAGGGGAAAACTTCAGAATGGATAACTGTAGAATACAGTTCTCCAATTCCTTCAATTGATGATTGGATTGGAGTCTTTTCTCCTGCAAACTTTAGGTCAAATTCAAATATCTGTTCATATCTATACTATATAGCTACAAAACTGGCTTTCAAATTCTAGTCCTTTCATAAATTCTATATATCAGTAACTGTCAAGCTTGATTGGCTTTTCAGTGATTCTACATGTCCAAAAGAAAATGGTAGGGTTTATCCACCACTTTTGTGTTCTGCACCCATTAAGGTACATGTGTTGGATGTAACCATTAATCTCAGTTGTTTTTCTTGAAGCCTGAGAAGCTTAAGGTTGAAAGAATTGAAGTGATGGTCTAATGTATGTGTTTTTTATTGGACAGTTTCAAAATGCAAGTTACTTGAATCCTCAGTACAAAACAACTGGAAAAGGGCTTTTGAAGCTTCAGCTTATTAATCAGAGATCAGATTTCTCATTTGGACTGTTTTCTGGTGGTTTGTCAACTGTAAGCCCATCATTAGTTTGAAATTCGTTGATTCGCGTTATTTACCAATTCTAGGATCATGGCTGACATACATTTCTTTTGGATTTTCGCACATTTGAAATTTTGAATAATAATCCTCTAATTAGTAATTTGTATGTCAGGATCAGATTTCCCAATTATACAAATTCAAATTATTATTTAAATTCCCTCGGAAGCTTCCGATTTTCACATCTATCATAATTTAGCTAAAATGCAATCGTTTATTTGTTTCTGTTTACCTGTTGATAGCCGAGGCTGGCAGCAGTGTCCAATAAAATCGCTTTTGCAAATCCAAATGCACCAGTTTACCCTCGTCTGGCACTGGGAAAGACATGGAATGAGGTAAGTTCAACTTCTTCTGTCATAGATTGCATTACTATAAAAATGGTTGTTTTACTTTTTTCAAAATTAAAATATTATCATTTATCACTTAAAAACAGATGACTGTAACATGGACAAGTGGATACGGGATTAGTGATGCTGAGCCGTTTGTTGAATGGAATCCAAAAGGAGGGGATCATGTACATTCACCTGCTGGGACACTGACTTTCACTCGTGACAGCTTATGTGGTAAGTAAGCCAAGCCTTACCTTTGAATTTGTGCACTTGATATATATCATGTGATTAATTTTTCTTACTAATCCAAATTCTTGTCCGACACACTTCTGATACATCATATATCCTTAACAAGTGCTTAGGCCATGCCACCGATAGAATCATCAGTTTTACTCAACATGTTTTGTTTAATTGAAATTTTTTCCAACAATGTTTGTCATCATCGCTAACAGGTGCACCAGCTAGATCAGTAGGATGGCGTGACCCTGGATACATTCACACCAGTCATTTGAAAGAACTGTGGCCTAACAGAATGTATGTTATTTCTAGCTTATGCTGACCTATTTATATGCACTTTTTAGCATATCATGTTGTGTAATCTTTTCTATTTAATGTTAATAAGGATGTTCTTGTTATGTCATGATATATGTTCAATTAAACTAAATCAAAGTTCTTTGTGCTTTCTGCGTGTTGTGTGTTGTGTAGATATGAGTACAAGATAGGACACAGACTCAATAATGGAACATACATTTGGAGTAAACAATATCAATTTAGAGCAGCTCCCTTTCCCGGGCAGAAGTCTTTGCAACGTGTAGTTATATTTGGTGATATGGGGAAGGTTTGAACTTTGAACTGTTAGATTAAAAAAAAAGTTATGACTGATAATGGATTGCATTTGTTGCAGTTTCAAGTTTCTAGTTTCTGATCAACTATTTAGATTATAATTCTTTGCCTGCAAGATATATTGAGTTTCTTCGTTTCGACGTGCTTATGAGATTCTATTCGCTTGGCTTTGAACTGTAATTGTATTATCATGCAGGAGGAAGTTGATGGTTCCAATGAATACAACGACTTTCAGCATGGTTCAACTAAAACTACCGTGCAACTTATCCAGGACTTAGAAAACATTGACATGGTTTTCCATATTGGAGATATAAGTTATGCAAATGGATATCTTTCTCAGTGGGATCAGTTTACAGCACAAGTGGAGCCAATTGCATCAGCTGTGCCTTACATGATTGCAAGGTTTTTTTGTGGCATACTTCAAAAATTAGTCAAGGAAGTACTTTTCTTTTAATAACAAAATGAAATTCTAATAATGTGGTTTTCCAGTGGGAATCATGAGCGTGACTGGCCCGGGTCAGGATCCTTTTATGGGAACATGGATTCTGGAGGAGAATGTGGTGTTTTGGCAGAGACTATGTTCTATGTCCCTGCTTCAAACAGGGCTAAATTCTGGTATGGCAGACACTATTTTACTTGTTTTCTTTTTAGAGTGAATGTTACCTTCTGTTGGATTAAAAAATTTGCATTGATTGAGTGGTGAAACTTAATATGATTGAAAGGTGAAACATTCACTGTAAATTGATGTTACATTTTTTTTACTTTTGCTTGCTAGGTATTCAATTGACTACGGCATGTTCCATTTCTGTGTTGCTGATACTGAACATGACTGGAGAGAAGGAACAGAGCAGTACAAGTTCATCGAACATTGTTTGGCGTCGGTTGACCGACAAAAACAGCCGTGGCTAATCTTCCTTGCACATCGGGTACTTGGTTATTCTTCTTGTATTTGTTATGCAGAAGAGGGATCATTCGCTGAACCAATGGGGAGAGAGAGCCTTCAAAAGCTGTGGCAGAAATACAAAGTAGACATTGCCATCTATGGTCATGTGCATAATTATGAGAGGACATGTCCCATATACCAGGTTTATTCAACTTAATGAAATTTATCTATCTTTCCAAATTTTCGCAAATATAGAACTATTATAATGTGCACCTAAAATGGCTTGTGTTTTTTGTTTTTTGTTTTTTTTTTAAAATCTTTTGCATATTCATACAGAATATCTGCACTAGTGAAGAGAAACACAACTATAAGGGAACCTTTAATGGAACCATACATATTGTTGCTGGAGGCGGTGGAGCAAGCCTTTCAACATTTACTTCTATCAAAACCAAATGGAGCATCTTTAAAGACTATGATTATGGATTTGTAAAACTAACTGCGTTTAATCATTCAACTTTGCTGTTTGAGTACAAGAAGAGCAGAGATGGGAAGGTTTATGACTCCTTCAAAATATCTCGGGATTACAGAGACATATTGGCTTGCACCATGGATAGTTGTCCTAGTGCAACAATGGCGTCGTGATTGATGAAATGGCAATGGCAACAACTTTAATGCATCTAGTTGTGTGAAAATATCGCTTATCGATATCGCTTATATTATCTTCGACAAACAGATAAATATGTAAATAATATACAATTGCCAGTCATGTCAGCTTAACCAAATTGACTTTGATAGAATGCACAATTAATATAGTGTTGAATTTTTATTCTGGAAGCACTTTTTTGTATCTAAAATAGGATAGTAAGGAGAAATACAATGCTACACAACCGATTCCAGTAATTACCAAAACCCAGTTGAATCCAGATGAATAGTCAAAAACTGAGGTTTGAAAGTTCATTCCAAATACTCCTGTCACAGCGGCAAATATTGCAGCCACCAATGTCGCCGCTGTAAGAAGCATCTCAAACTTTATGAGGAGGTTTTGAATATTTCCCTGTAACAGATAGAGTGAAAAGTGTAAGAAGCATATCAAACTTTAATAGGAGGTTTTGAATATTTCCCATGTAACAGATAGAGTGAAAAGTAAGAGTACCTGGTTTACACTGTTCAGAATATATCAAACAAATAAAGTAACAGAAGAATGTTACTAATTGTTAATCTTAGCTTACCAGTTTTATGTTGAGAAAATCTTCCGTGTCGTCTATGTATTCTTTGAGCTGCATTACCAGCAAGAGTATTATCAATGAAAATAAGCAATGTGGCTAAATTCTAAAACTACAGCTCTGAAAAAGTCAATTTTCTCGTACCGACGATAATGTATTGAGAGTATTATCAATGACGATAAAGTATGCTTCCAGCAACATCTCCAGTGGTTGAATCCTTTCTCCATTATCAGATGAACTTGTTGAACTGCCATATTTACTTGAACTTCCGATACTGCTGCTGAAAGTCCTACGCAACATCTGTAAGCCACTAACTGACTGCTCCGGTGAAGTAGGGTCTGATTTCGAAATCACTTTGCCTGATGATGTATGACTTAGATTAAAATCACTTGAAGGGTAGGCATCTGATCTTCTCCTTTTCTCAGTCAGGCACATCTCAGCCATGTCACCATCGTCATCCATGAGATGTTCTATTTCATCACGAACCTGATAGCAATATATAAGTTACTAGTTGCAGGTCATAGAAAGCTAGAAAGAAAGAAAAAAGATACGATAACTAAAGATGAGAATTCCAAGTTGATCAACCTTCTGAACTCGCTGAGTCAAAGCAAGAAGGTGACCTTTGAATCTTCGAACACGTTCCAGAAGGAGAGTACTGATAGATGAGGCCAGTTCATCTAGCACGGGATATATTTCCATCTCTAATTCGTTCACCTATCAAATCAAAACAGTTCTTAATATAACAAATTCAAGATGATAGCTTTCTTACGCACATATGGCTTATAGCTTAATCAACGACTTCTAACGCATATAACAAGCAATATAGTGCGGAATTCTGAAACATAAAAACACACAATTACCCCAAAATAGTACAGTTTGTGGTCAGTTAATACTTAATACCTGTGCATCTAAAGATGTGCATGTCAATTCCAGAGCCAACTCCAATGCCCGAAATTCAAAGGGAAGATCATCTGTTCAAAAACAGAAACAAGGTAAGCAATTGTACACGGTAATTACCTCAAACAAAAAACTTCATAATTAAAAAGCAAAAAGAGGAAGAATCCTTACCAGATTTTTCTTTCCTGAGCCGATTGCATAATTGTGACCTGTACCGACCAACAGTACCATCCAATGAATTCATCAGAATTACTTCATCCGCAGTGATTATACACCGGATTTGCTCAAGGTTAACAACAATAGCCATCTCCCTTCCTAATATGGAAGAAGGATAAATGAACATGGGATCCAACAATCGAAGATCTCTAGAAGGCAAAGAGCAATCTCTCATGATAGTAGCCTTGTCAAGCGTCACGACCTCTGAGTTTCCATCTTGATCAATTTTTATCCAAGAACGACTCACATGACCTCTCTTCTTCAGACCTGTTATACCAGTCCTATGATTCCCTTGCCTGTTAAAATCATACTCGGGTAGATCGGAAACATAATCCTCGCCATGTGTTTCTTCCATTGCATTGTACATTTTACTCACCCGCAGTTCTGGATCTGATACGAGTACTTTTTCACCATTAACTAATCAAGTATTCATTTCCACAACAACCTTTCATCAATAAACGAGGAAACAATTATAAAAAATATGAAATAGTTGAATTGAACATAACTGAAGTAAATGTAACACTAAAAATCACAACTTTAATTAATATCTTGAACACCCATTTTCCCTACTCAATTGTTTCCCTTAGTTTCAAACAAGATAGAACCTTCTACATACATACCAGTGATACCGCTACTCAAGTTACCAATTTTAAAACGGCGTGTTCAAAACCAGCGAATAATTGTGAAAAAATTGGAAACCCCTAAAAGAAAAACAGTAGTAACCTGAAGAATATGTTCGAGTGTTGAAACAATACTGCATGTGAAGGATTTCCCTTCTCGTAGAGAAGAAAGGTTGAAGATTATCGATCGGTGAATTACCATGAACTTATGATTATAAGTTTTCAGGTAGAATATTCAGGTTTTGAGTGAAGACTCGTTTATTTTCATAAGCGAATAAATAAATAAAAAGAAATGGTTCAATATTACTCACACATGTGAAATGCCTTTAAAATCCAAAATACTTATCCCCTATTTTGTATTTGCCACAAAGTCATTTTAAAATGAATTGTGCTATGTTCACATCAAAATTTGACACAAGGTAAACAATATTTTTCTAAATAAATAATATATATTTATGAATAATAACGCGAAAAATTATCGTAAATAGTGTATGAATGATAACTTTTAGTAATGAAATAAAGTTGGTTAATGAAAAATAAAAAATTAGTTAATACAGGTTTAGATATTAAAATAGTTTTTAGTAGTAAAATAAAATTAATTTTAATAAAAAAAAAGTTGATTAATGAAGTGATGAAGTTGTTTAATAAACGCTCAAATATTAAAAATATTTTTTAAGAGTAAAATAAAGTTGATTAATAAAATATAAAATATTTATTAACGAAGTTATGAATTTGGTTAATCACGCAATTTTATATTGATGCCCTTTAATTAAAAAAATATAAAAAAATTAATTTTATATTTTCTTTAAAAACATATTTATTATTATAATATCTCATTATTCATCGTGTTGGTGAAAATTAAAATATAGTATAGTTTATGAAAAGAGAAAATGTAGACACTGCTGAAATTTTCACCCATATAACCTACTTTACCCCTTTAATATCCAAACACCCTACTTTCCCTCAAATTTCCCAATCTACCCAACTTTCGTATTCTTTTTATTTATTACAAGGGGGCGCCATTGGGCTTGACTCCTCCCTTATAATTTATAGGGGGGCGCCATCCAGGATGGAGGCACCCTATAAATTATAAAGGGGGCGCCATCCTCTTTGGCTCCTCCCTTAAATGACTTATAGGGGGGCGTCATCCCCTATGGAGCTCCATTTAACGAATATAATTTTTCAAATATATTATAATTAATATAATTAAAATTTAATATTATTTTATTCCAAATTTGTTTTTATTAATAGTTAGACTTGTTGTTAACATTGTTTCATCCAAATTTAGAAGAGTGAGTCATGTACCTTAGAAGATATGGGCATGTAATTTTTTCAAGGACGAAGCCTCCGATAAGGATGTTGTTTTGGAACATCTAGAGTTTAGAACAACTACGAAGAAATTTGAATCGGTGGCTAGAAGGAGACATTCCAAATGGTGAAAGAATTAGGAGTATTGAAAGACTTGTCTCGTACTTCTCTGTTGAAGACGGAAACATACGGCGGGAGTGGGTGCGAATTAGAGATGACAACGAAGTTAGGTCTATGATGTTCGGAACTGATGATATTACTTTGATTGTTGTTATATCTTAGTTTATGTTATAATAATCGTTGTATTTTTAATGATTTGCGTTGTTGCTGTAGAAGTATTTCAATTCGTTTTTGTGGTAATGAAAAGTTGTGATGAATATTAAATGCCACGGTTACACAATTTTTTAATGACCAAATTAAATCTATCTAGAACTTGTTCCAACATTTGGACAATTATTCCTCGTATGCCCGGGAAGACGACATATTCCGCACAATCTTTCCATTTTCTCAGTTGTATCCATTTCAGTTGTAATTCGCGTGCTTTTGGGGCGGCCCTTTTTGTTTCTTCTCATATTTTCGTTGTGGTAGATTGTGTCTCCATGATAGGTTGGCCAATAGTCCTCACTAGCTACCACTGGAAAACTGTTACTCTAGATACCGAATAAGTTCACGACCTTGTAAACTTCTGATAGCTGCAAGAATGGATCCTGACGAGCACTGGAACATGCGGCAATGACATGTGAACAAGGCATGCAGAAGGTTTGAAACTTTCCGCAGTCGCACCAATTTTTATGAAGTTCCACCCTGTAGTGTCCCATTGGCCGACCCTCGTTGTGATCCATTGTCTCATCAACAATGAAGCTGTAATCGTGACGATCAAATGGTCTAACTCGATGTGAGGCCGCCTTAGAAGTTTCATCCCTCATATACTTCATGCTTGATTCGCTGAATATTTGCCCTGATTGCAAAACAACGCTCCATTTTTTGCCTCTTGCCGCAAAAAGTGACCCCAATCTGTAATACGTTGCCCTTACCAACGCAGTGATGGGGAGGTTCCTAGTTCCCTTAAATACGCCGTTTAGGGATTCTACAAGATTTGTGGTCATGTGACCCCATCTGCATCCTCCATCAAATGACCTTGTCCATTTCTCGACTGGAATGTTATCCACCCACCTTAATGCTTCCGCGCTTGTGTCGCGGTGAAATTTGGATACCAAACTATTGATTAGTTTGAATCTTATTCATTTGCAACCGTCTTTGATTTATCCGAAGGAAAGGTTAAAGGAAGGAAAACCTATTTTGCATTGTAAATACAACGCGGGGAGAGATCTAAGGTTCGGGGGTTGGTTAAACTTAGGGAAGGTACTAGCATCCTAAG